AATTTAATATTTTAGGCAAAAAATATTTTTTTCTTCATACATTTATTTTTACCGGCAAAACTGTTGATTATATAGAAAAACATTATATGAACAGATTAAAGGAATTGTAATTTTTAATTTTTTTTAATTTGTTTGATCAAAATCGGACTAGTGGTTCTCGAGTTATATCAAAAAAAGACCTCCAAAGGTGACAATTTTCCCTATATGATAGTTACTAACTTCAAATCGATATATCTCGATTCCTAGACGTGACCCAGCGAAACGCCGGGACACGTATGTATAACTTCTTTTTTACCGATATAGTTTGAACCCTTCCCGATCACTGACCCCTACCATTTGTCTCACAGTGTTATTATTATTATACAAGAAAAATTCATTCATTGACGCGTACGTCGCCAAGGTAATAAAATCTTCAAAGCTCGCTTCAACCATTCACCGAATACCAAACAATCCTAGCCACCATAGCATACAACGACCCCAGGCCAAAAACTTACCTCCATGGCTCTTCAATCCAAAATCACGTTCCACATAGCTTGTTAAACTCATAAAGGATAAAACTTCACCCGAAATCTATAAACAGCTGTTCTTCGAGCAAATATCTAGATATTGTAGCCTTCAATATGAGATTCTATACACAGCATCGCTCAGCATACGCCATTGCTAACTCCCAGGGTCGTACCTTCAGTTGATGAATAGCATCTCCTCAATCTTCACTAAAGAAGCGGCTGCTATATTCAATGCTATCGAAACACACAGTAAACACAAAAAACAAAACAAGTAAGAAAGTCTAAGTTCGGGCGGAGCCGAACATTAAATACCCGGCGCAAGTAATAAATATATGTTTTCCATCTTTACGAAAACTACCACTACATTGTAAGCCGGAGTGCTTTTACCCCTATTTTAAACATTTTCGATAGAACGTTCAGTTAGACATAATAAGTTAAACTTATATAGTCATATGTGGCGATATCACGCCCATTTTCCAAAACTCCAAACAATGTTACTTCTTTTCAAGGGATTGTTTTTAGTATCAATTTTAAGTAAATTAGCTTCCTTAAATTTCGAAATAATGAAGTTTCAAGCATTTGTGAAATTTACCGTTATATGAAAAGCGCCTTACTTTTGGAGGATGGTTCCGTGCGCAGAAGTGGAAAACTTTTGACTGCCATTCACCTGGGAGTGGCCAGAAGCGATTCTTGTGCGTACGGTTCAAATCGCAGCTCACAACGTCCGGATATTTATATCCACGTATCCTCTGGGTAGCAACCAAACACCCGTTTGGGAGCGAGCTAAAGTGAGAAGGCGTAAAACTTCGCGTGCGCTGGGTTTGGGTCCCGCCACGTTAAAACCCCGCCCAATGAAAAGAAAAAAACAGCCTCGGATGAGACCCCCTTTTTCTGATGACGACCACGGCAAACGTATAAAGGACTATGATTTAAGGGTATGCACCTGGAATATCCGGACCCTTAATGGGGAAGGTGCCTCTGCCCGGCTGGTTGATGTCCTCGGGAAGACAAAGGCTGACATCACCGCCATCCAAGAAATGCGATGGACGGGGCAAGGTAAAGTAAGCGTGAAGCCTTGCGACGTCTACTACAGTTGCCACGTAAAGGAGCGCAAATTCGGTGTTGGATTCGTGGTAGGAGAGAGACTCCGTCGCCGAGTACTGGCGTTCACCCCGGTGGACGAACGTCTAGCCACAATCCGCATCAAAGCTAGATTCTTCAACATCTCGCTCATCTGCGCCCATGCCCCGACGGAAGAGAAGGATGAGGCGTCCAAGGATCTCTTCTATGAGCGCTTGGAACGTACATATGAGCGCTGCCCCCGACACGATGTCAAAATCGTGCTTGGCGATTTTAATGCCAAGGTGGGCAAGGAAGGGATCTTTGGCGCCACTGTCGGAAAATTCAGCCTCCACGACGAAACGTCCGATAACGGACTGAGGCTGATCGACTTCGCCGGGGCCCGAAATATGGTAATATGTAGTACTAGGTTCCAGCATAAGAACATCCACCAAGCTACATGGCTGTCTCCAGATCGAAAAACGAGAAACCAAATCGATCATGTTGTGATAGACGGAAGGCATGCTACAAGCGTTTTGGACGTACGTACACTCCGAGGGCCAAACATCGACTCGGACCACTATCTTGTTGTAGCCAAGATACGCACCCGCCTCTGTGCAGCAAAAAATGTGCGCCCAACAATGCAAGGAAAGCTTAACGTCGAAAAGCTGCAATCACAACAGACGGCCAATTTATTCGCCACTCGACTCACACACCTGCTCTCTGAGAGCACTCTTCAACAATCCGACGTACGCGAGCAGTGGAACCACATTTCCCGATCATTAAGTACCGCCGCCGAAGAAGTAGTTGGATTTCAGCGAGCCCGAAAGAACAACTGGTACGATGAGGAATGTCAAGAAGCCGCAG